TATTGTCCCTGAAGTTCAATGTGATGTCAGGTGCAAGATCCTAGGTTTTGCCCGGCCAAGATCCTCCCACTTGCTTATGGCCATTGTGTGTCAATGGCGGCTTGAGATGGTGGTGCAAGGCTAATTCTGCAGAGTACTTACACATATCTACATATTTTGACACAGTTTTGCTGGTACTCATTCTTTTTTAGCATTCTGCTGCTTCATTATATTGTATTCTTAGTTACTTTGGATAAATAATATTCACATTTTATCTAAAAAAAAAAAAACTAACGGAATTATGTTAAACTTGATAAATTAAAATGATTTTGAAAATTAATAGATTATGTTAGAAGAAAATAAAGATTATAAATTAAAACAAAAAAATATCAATAATTAATAAATAATTTATTAAATTAAGTTAATTGTCTTAGCAGTGGAGTTTCTATTAAAGACATCGACATCGGACCAGATGCATGTGAGTCATATTTATTCTAGTAGAACACGAAATCGATTTGGATATGGTATACAACTTATTGAAGAGTAAATATATGAATCTCATTAAGTAAAAATAAATAAATAAATAAATAATATTGTTTGTCACGTTTAAAGAATTGTTGTCAATGATGAATGATGATATAGTCCTGTATCTCTCCTTAGAACTCAAGAATTCAGAGGTGGGATCCTATAAAACAGAAGCTTTTCAAGTAAGGTTGTATTCCATTTAACGAAGACTAGGTCTTACCCAGTTACCCAGAAACATCTAGGAAAGAGAGGTAAAAACACTTGTTTAAATCAACAAAAAAGAGTTGGAAACACCACTATAAGTTACACCGTAACTTTCATTAGTTAATAATTAATGTTCTTTTGTAGAGCTTGAATTTTAACTCAAACCAATTATTGAATTTAATACTTTCTTTACTCTTTTCTTATAGACTATGCATATAAAATTTCAAATTAATTAATTAGATTTATATTTGATTATTTTATAATTATATTTTTAATTTTAGATCATTAAATAAATAATAAAAAATATGATTTCTTTATTCGTATAAGTATAAATAACCTTAAAATTTAACATATATAATTTATAAATTACGTAAATAAAACTTTAAATTCAAATTTTGATTTAGCAAAATACAAATTATACATAAAATTATTGAGCGGCATAAGCAATGGTCTAAATTACATTAGTATAAGTTAATCCTTATCAAGGAAACTTCTAGGAAACAGAGGTGAAGACTTACCTCTTAGGTGAACAGTTTCTCTTAAGGTATGAAATGGAGACTTCTTCCATGATAATGTGGCCTGGCAGTTTCAGACGACTTTAGACTCCTAGTCACAATTTGCCACTTTGCCATTTTTTCAAAAGGCTATATTCCACTTTTGCATTTTTTTCTAAAGCTATTTTTTACTTGATAAATAGTGAAGATTATCCTTAAAATTGTTGTATTAAAGTAAATTTTTA